CCTGTATTGCCAAACACTGTGTCAGCTCCGAAGTATTTAGCATGGTCATATCTCCTAATTTTTGTTTTCAGCCTATCTATTTATGTGTTTATTTTTCTGTGTGTTATACATTTAAGTATCACAAGAAGCAGCTCCACTGTGGAGCAAAAGGTGGTATTTCCAATTGTTCCTGGTGTTGATTGCTTATGTTCATGTTTTCAGTTTCTTCATACATATTCTAAAATTCCGTGGAAGCTGTCGCATTGGTGGTAATCACATCTAGTTGCCACTGAAAGGGGTGATGACACTCCCCTAAGCCTTGGCCACCAGTTCCCATTGTGTCAGCATGTGTACTTGGCAGACTACACTATTTAGGGAGTTAAACCACCAAAAGCTTCTCAGGTTTTTATGGCAGACTTGATTTTTCATCATTGTGAGTTCCTGTGCACTGGCTTACTGCAAGACCAGTCAAGTGCTGGTGCCAACACAACAGAAAGCAACTGGAGCAGGACTGACCTGAGATGCCATCTCGGCCAAATCACGTATTTCCACAGTCCAGAGGCTGAGAAACACAAGAGGACCACAACTGGTGTTATGCCTACATTTTGGGACATGGTCTGGCCTGCCAAGCCCCTCATCCAGGCTGAGCAGATGCCTCACAAGGCTGAGCCCAGTCCGGTTTTTCTTCTCATGGTAGGCAGAGTCAGGGGGACATAGCTGATACATTTCTGGGTCTCAGCCCAAAGGGAAGATAGTGTCTGTTTTTAGCAGCTGTGGACTGTTGTTAAGGTGCAGCCGTAAGTCATATTTAACTACAGGGCCAGCTAGGAGGGAAGGTAATGCAGTCTAAGTGCTGTAAAGGAGAGATGTATCGTAACGTGGCAGGCACGTTACACAGACTGGTCTGTTGTTGGCCCTGGGTCAGTGTATTTTCCATGAGGTCCATGAGCCAAAGAGTCTGAGCTCACAGTGGAGCGGCCAAGGAAGAGTAGAGGTGGCAATCACAAGGACGAAGATGTAACACTGGGGCACTGTTTGAGTTTCTACAGCAAAGAGCAAAGCGTGGCTTGCTGCACGTCTCCAGTTCCTTGCTGCTCGTGTCAGCCAGCCCTTGGCCAGCTTGCTGGGATGCCAGCAGCACCAAGAAGCTTGTACTTCAGTGGCTGAAGGTAACCCTGCATGTTTGCCACAGGGTTGAGTACACATGAGCAGACTGGGGAGCAGCCAGCGTGACTTGTCACCTCATGGCATCTTGGTGGTGTGTCACAGCACTGAACACAGTTCAAGGCTTTAATAAACATACCGTGCTCCCTGGGCAGCTCCCCAGGCAGCTTTGCTCTGCATATTGCTCAGAAAACACAAGATCAGTATAAAAAGACCTATTACATGTGTTTTTTAACAGTGTTACTGCATATGCCAAGGGCCATTCACAGTCTGCATAGAACAGAGGTGACACACCTAGGAGGTCATGGGCAGCATTCATAGAAAGGAAAAATAGTCTGCATTTTGCAAGGTTGTTATAGTTTGTCTCGCAGTGCAGATCACATTCAGCAGAACTTGATGGCCATCTACTGGCGAAGCCCCAGTCGGTGTTACGCAGAGTTTTTGTATCAGAGAGACAAGCACTTGCCCATGTGCAGAGAGTTGCAGAGATGCATGTTTTCACTTCTAGCTGAAAGTAACACAGCTGAATTTTTATAAATCACCTAAATGCTCACATTGGTTTTACTCATTTCATCCTATGAGCAATATTGACTACAGGTGTTGCAGCTACTCATGGAGGCAGCCAACAGTCTCCCAAGATTTCTGTGAAGTGTAACAATTTCTACACTAACACAGAAATTACACTGGGTTTCGAAATAATGAACTACAGATAAATAAATGTCAAGCTGGCAGATCAGAAACAAGTTTTCTTCTTTGTTAATTAATCTTTCAAACTTAATGTATCAGCAGTAATTTGTTACATCTCACAGTTTTGCTGAGCACATCCATTCACAAACTCTTTGTCCAAGATGGTGCCATCAAACAGTAGTTTCTGGAACCCTCTGCTGACCTGAGCCACTTAGCTGCCCTTTTAAAAAGTACAAAACCTGAGCTTGAGGAATTTTTTTATGTCTCTGTGATCAGTGAGGGTATTTTGTAGAAATTGCTTGAGAAAGAAGAGGATGTCCCTATCCTGCTGCATGGTGAAGGGAAAGAACATCAGCAAATCAGCTGGAAGTTACTGTGGGAGGGGTTAACCGATGGAAGCTCAAAAAAACCACTTTGTGTTCTTTTTAGGGCTTTCTGTGTTATCTCCATTTTAAAAAGTCACACAACTTTTGCAAGGCTAAGACAATTCTGGTGGTATCAGGTAGATTCTATGTCCTTTGCCACGAGTGAGCATGTCTGCACTGTGGGATCTCCCTGTGCCATGCAAGCTGGAGTGGCAGAGGAAGATCACCTTGGGCTCACTTGCCATGTGAGTCTCCTCTGCTGGTTAGTTTGTCATTTAGCCTGCACTGCTGCGAAGGGAAGGCATGAGGTTACACCGACTGGCTCTCGCTGACAGTAGGTTTTCTCCTCGGTGTGCTGAGCAAGCAGTGACTGTGAAGCTCTCAGGGGATGGTGACAATGCATGTCACCTTCTGTGGCTTATTCAGTTATTTTCCCTCCGATGGAATAGGCAGTGTGCTTCACTTTTTAGAAGGAGCAGCATCGATCATAGAATCAACGGGGTTGGAAAAGACCTCCATCACGTGCCACCTTCACGGCACTGCTTTGTGCCACCCTCTCCTGTGTAAATACCTAGGAAAGAACAGAGCAGTTCCCAGCAGTGAGATCACTTTCTTGTACGTGACAAATAGCTTTTATGAGGTGCTGACTCTTCTCAAGGTTCATTTTGTCTCTGGGCTGGAAATTGCACTAGCATTATAAGTTTGATCCACCTCCTATTTAAATGAGCTGTATGTACTATCCAGGATCTGAACACCCTGTTACAAAATAGGCTTTTAAGACAGCTTATAAATTACTTGCAGTAAAAATGATGCACAAATATTTATCTTTAAAGATATTCTGGAGCACTGGATTTTCTATGTTTAGTATTGAGCTTTAACATTTGATTTTCACATTTACTTTTATTTCAGCTGAAGGGATGTTTTAAAAAAGCCAAACTGCAGTAGTGAAACCATTCTCAGTGAATCATTTAACCCTAGACTTTTATTTGCTTTGAGATGCAGATGCTTAAATGCCTAAGCCATTTCTGTGGGAGCTAAACATACCTGTATGCCAGTCACATAGTTAAAGTGCTGCTATGTCTAACTCTCCTGGGGACAATATTTTGCTAGTTATTGTTGATATTACAGCCCTCTGTCCACTTCTTTCTCCATTTCAGATATTGCACACGCACACGTTAACACACATCATTTTACAGGCAAAAATAATGAACCTGGAAAATCTTGTTCCTAGAGGTCAAATAATATCTGTTCAGAGAAAATGTGGGCTGTCAGAAAGAAAGTACTTCACTCCTTTTTTAAATAATGCTTTAAATTAGGGTTGTGCTGTAAAAATATTTGAACAAAAATGCGTAATTAGACTACCATTAATTCAAGGCTTAAAGATTTGCATGCAGAGATTTAGAATATCTGTGAAATCACATGCTAATGGTGTGAAATGCTTTCTGCTAAGTTTTAACCCAGTATAAATAGTCCTCAGCAAAATCTGGAAATCTCCAGGAGTGATGTTTATGCCAGAACAATTACAGCCATAACAGGTGGCTGTTGTAACGCGAGGTTGCAGATTGGTGTTAACATAGGAGCTTCTCAGCAGCTACATCAACATCAGTGCTGCTTTCAAAATGCCTTTTTTAGCATTGTAACTACCCCAAAGGTTTGTGCTTTCTTCTTTTCATTCAGATTGATCTTAAGAGTCTGGAAGAGCTGGCCGATGAATCTGTAGCTCATTGCCCTTGAGTGTCAGTAAACCTGGGAAGTCCCAGAAACCTGATGAAGGCCAGTGTGGTTTCAGTACTTAAAGTAGCTAAACAGGCTAGTCTAACTGTGGGTGAACGTGATTGCTGTGCAATATAATAATAATAGGGTTGATAAGACGATCAGTTAATGGTGATTTATGGCTGGGTAGTATAATTAATGGTAGTCAATGAGGATTTGGATCTTGGCATACCAACTTGATCATAGCTTACCTAACCAAGCCAAATGCATTGCTGTAGCAGGCTTTCTTCAAATATTAGACTCAGTCCACACTATATGCAGAAACTCAAGCAATATAGCTTCAGCATTACATTTTTAATTGATTGAAACTGGGATTAAAACTTAAAACTGATAGACCTTAGGACGTTGCTGTAAATGGAGTATCTCTGACGAGCATTTGTGTTTCTGTGGGGGTTGATCTCTGGCCCTGTGCTAATAACTTTTGTTTATGAGTGTTCTGAATTATGAGTGTTCTGAAAGGAAATAAAATTCATTAACTTGCAAGTGATAGATTGAGAATTGTTAAATAAGACAATGGAAAAATCACTGCTGCAGGGTGATACGGACCTGTTAGCACTCTGTATGCAAGCACACAACAGGTGCTTGACCAAATGCGATAATCCATAGTCCAGAACTGGGTACTGGAAATACTCTTTCATAAAAGGTTTTAGGCTTTTTATCTATTTAAACTTATCAAAGGCTATATAGAAAGATGATTAGAAAACAAGATTCAGTGAGCTTGTACCTGGACACATGTCAAATAGAAATAGAGCTCAGGTAAAGTCAGGCTACTTCATTACTGGAGCAGTATTTCAAGGGTTGTGGTGGATTTTTTGGGGGCAATAAGCACTTCTAAACCAAGACTTGAATTAATTCATACTGCAGAGTATTCTCTAGTTCAAGCACTAATTGTGCCATGGACTACATTGTAGAAAGGGAAATAGTTAATTTTAAGGTCACTTCTGGCACAGTGATACGTTACAGCTGATTTTTGGGGCCTGGGATACACACCATGCTCTTGCTTCATTTTTTTGCATCTGTTCTGTTTTTCAGTTCAATTTCACCATTCAGTATTGAGAGCACAAGGCGTCAGAGGAGGTCTGAGTCTCCAGACTCCAGGAAGCGACGCATCCATCGGTGTGACTTTGAGGGATGCAACAAAGTATACACAAAAAGTTCCCACCTGAAGGCTCACCGGAGAACGCACACAGGTAAGACTTTGCTGGCACTGTTCATTATGGTAAAGACAAGCAGGTTCCTTTCTGCCTAATTTAGGGCATATTGAGCTTGTCATCCTACACCGAGATCCAAAGGCCTGTACCTAAATAATGGAGATGTCTGCAAGTGCATCAGCATTGGCCTTCTGGTGCAGATCAAGAACATGCTTTTGGATTGAACTTCCCTGTCATCTCTGCTTCACAGCACAAGAGCAGTGTCAGCACAAACCAGACTCCTCTCGGCTGAAACCAAACAGAAAAGTGACTTCCAGAGACACGCCTATGGTGCTTCAACAAACAGTGGGTGGACATTGCTTAGGACCAACCAGAGCTAGTCCAAAGAAAACCCTCAAGAAGGTCATATAGTGTGGTCATGAATCTTCAGCAGCAATTTTTTCACTCTACAGACCTTCTCCTGTTGAGCTACTACTTGCTTTTATGGATGTAGCCTTTGAAGGCCAGGTGCCCCTGAAAGCCTTCAGTTCAATTCAAGTGTAAACTCAAGTCCTCAGTATGTCTTTCTGGAGGCTTTCAGAGGCACCTACCCCATAGTGGAGAGGGAAGTAGGTCACTGTATGAGAATGGGTTGCACTAGATCCCTACAACAGAGATGCAAGAGAGGTGCTTAAATGAGCCAGGTCCCATTCAGTGGTGATAATACTTAACACTCAATTAATATCTGGTGTCCTTAACTTTATGGGCTGTTACTAGTCTACCTGACAGGCATGTAAGGCTGGCTGAAGCAGTGATGTATAATAGTTGTAATTTTGTTATGGATAAACCCAGGAGCAATGATTTGAAGTCATCAAGAACAGTTTAAAAGGGGATTGATTAGATGGCTAGAAAGGCGGTGGACAGAACTCTCTGAATCTCAGTGTTATTCCTTGCTCTGCTACTGATTTGCTTACATTAAATTTATTGATCTCTCTGCTCTTAATGGACTTCACCATTCTTGTAACTCCTTGGAGAAAAGATGGTGTTTAACCATATAGCACTAGTTCTTTGCCAAGAATCTGTTGGCACTTTCTGTGGTGTGATGTACTCTAAAGAGTATGAGATGTTATTCAAAAAAATTAAGTGATGGCTTCTTCATTT